TTATCATTTTATTGAGACTCATGAATTGAATATTTTGTATAACGTTCACTTTATACTTATTCTAGTTGTTGAATGTTCCATAACTTCATCGTGTGTTGTGAAAATGAATATTATCATGTTAATCATTTCAGGCAGAATTTTTATCAAGAATTCGTCACCCCAACATCATCCAGTTTTATGGCGTTTCAGAAGTCGATCTTGGATACCTTATTGTGACAGGTTAGCTATGAATTGCGAATCTCGAAATACACAGCTGTTCAATATTTGTTTTAGGCACATAGCAAACGAATATGCAATGATTCACTGTAAATATTCGCGACCAAATGTGACCATTTTGCATTCTTTGAAATGAGAAAACATTTGAAGAAAATAGATTGTGAATCTTATTGAAGTTAATTTGTGATCCTTCTAAGAGTTGGTTGGGGTGAAGACTTTATTCTTGATATTTCCAAATTTAGAATAATCAAATACTTTCTCATCAACGCTTGTTAGAAGGAGTGGTGTTGGTTACTCATACGAATTGTTTTTGCATCTGTGATTTCATTGTTTTCTGCTTCTGAATAGCCGATAGTCCATCACTATAGAAATACTCTGAAGTAATTTGTAAAATTTGATCACAAACTCATCAGTATCACTAAACCTTGGCAGAATTGTTGGAAGATATTATTAATATTAACTTGCAGAATACGCCGAGGGCGGCTCCTTATATATGGCCTTCCATAATGCGAAAGATTCACGTTTCGATTTCAAGCAAATTATCACATGGGCTTGGCAGGTTATTTCAATTTGCATCATTCAAATGTCATCCTCTTTTTATATTTTCAGATACATTCATTTATATATTGATTCTCCCAGAATGTCAGAGCGAATCTTCATTGATTACGAAAATTAGAACATATGATAAAACATGTTAGCAGAAAGTTGTAGGGTTTACTGAAATCGGAAGTTTATTCTAATGCGATTGGAGTGTCAATGACGCTTTTTTGAACGCCATTAGATGGGGATTTTCAGAGCTGTTGTAGAAAATGTAATAAATAGAGCAAGAAGGCTCCCATGTGCAGTTCATTGAACGTGTTTTGCAGATTTGAGCACTCATAAACTTTTGTTCAGATAGCATCTGGAGTTGCGTATCTGCGTCACGATGCATCTGTTAAAACAATTCATCGAGACCTAAAATCACTCAATTTCATCTTGAGTGATGAACTCGTCTGCAAAATGTGCGATTTTCGAGGGTCAAAGAATCCGACTCATTCGGTGAGAGCGACATTTTCCGTGGATGAGGTGAATTCTATCGGTCGATTAGCCGTAAACTCCGGCCATATTTGCATCAAATTGATTGCTTATTCTAAACTTGAAAATCATTATCGTACCAGTTCCTGATATCTTTATTGTCGCTAGTCAATTTTCAGTCCGGA